CCCTGGAGAAGTCCCTAACAGCAGACTTTGCCATTGCAATACATTTTTTACAATTTCCTGGATGCTGGTGCCAAGAGTGTTGACCGTGGAGCCAAGCAAACTAAAGTTGTTAATAATCTCAATCTCTTCACCATCCATCCTGATCAATTAAAATATGGATTCAAGTCTTATTTATAACAATTATATCTTGAATTTGGAGAACAGATTGCTCTATGCATTTGATAATTGGACAGTGAATAGGGATGAGAGAAGAAGAATTATTGCCTTTGAGCTGTGGTGTTGGAGAAGAGCACTGAACAGCCCATGGATGGCCAAGAGAATAAAAAGGTGCAGCCATAGTGTTCTGTGAAAGCAAAGATAATGAGGCTTCACCTCACATGGACAGCATATAGCTATAGATAGATGTAGATACACCGCATATGTATGTATGTATGTATACATATACAATGAATAAGGATGACAGAAGAAGATTTGATGCCTTTGAGCTGTGCTGTTGGAAAAGAGCACCGAACATCCCATGGACGACCAAGAGAACAAACAGTTTTAGAGAGGGTGTTCCCGGAATGCTCTTTGGGAGTAAAGTTAATGAGGCTTCACCTCATAGTCTTTGGGCATGCTGCTGGGAGTGGCTATTCCTTGGAGAGAGACATGGAAGGATGAAGTGTCATTGAAGGAGCGGAAGACCCTTGACTAGGTAGATTGACATGGTGACTACCACAGTGGACTCTTGTGTGTCAGGAAGTGTGAGGATGGTGCAGGATAGGATGGGATTCAGATCGGTTGTTCATAGGGTTGTTATGAGTTGTACTTGACTCGATGGCATCTAACAACAACTAATAACTATTGCTCTTCAGAAGTTCAGGAGATTTTACCTGACATTTTAGGTAAATGAGGCACAATATAGAACTAGGGTCAAAACTAGAAATCAATCTTTCATCTAAACTTATCTCTAAATAATTCTGTTCAAGAGCCAAGTATGTGTAGCAGTGTCTGTGAGGATATGAAGAGGGAGAGTGCAAATTGTGAGAGGAAAGGAGATTTACACAGACCAATTCTTGTGTAATCATTAACAGTCATAACTAGACATGAACTCAGTAATTACTTACTCATTTATTTTAAA